CTGCTGTTGCTGCTGCTGCTGCTGCTCTTTCTGCTGCTCTTCCCGCAGCTGCTCTACCTCAGTGCGCGTAGGGAGGTGGACTTTTGCTGCTGCTTTCTGCTTCTGGTGCTCTGCTTCTGCCGCTGCAGCAGCAGCAAGTGCGCTCTCTACCTTGGCAGCAGCAGCAGCAGCAGCCTCCTTGGCAGCAGCAGCAGCAGCAGCTCGTGCTGCAGCAGCAAGACACGCAATCTGGGGCAAATGCCGCTGCGGCACTTTGCCGCCTTTGTAGAGAAGCTTCGGTAAGGAGAAAGTCTCTAGCAGCGGCTTGACCTTAATTGCTGCTGGTGTTGCTGCTGCTGTTGCTGCTGCTGCTGTTGCTGCTGCTGCTGCTGCTGGTCCTTTCGGCGGGCTTGCCTCTGCTGCTGCTGCTGCTGCATGCAGGGACACGGCGTTTCCGCCGGGCAGCCGCAGTACGCCGTTCTCCTGCTGCAGTTGGGGCTGCAGCAGGTGCTGCTGCTGCAGCTGCTGCTGCTGCTGCTCTTGCTGCGCCAGCATCTCCTCGAGAGGCAGCAGCTGCTGCAGACACAAAGAGCTGAGGAGACACTTGAACTGCGGGTTGCTGCGCGCCTCCTTGACTGCTGCTGGGTGGACCACCACATCCACAACTATTCTGTTGCTGCTGCTGCTGCTGCTGTTGCTGCTGCTGCTGCTGCTGCCGTTGGTGCTGCTGCTGCCATTGCTGATGCTGCTGCTGCTGATTACAGATAGCAGGGGAGAGGGGCCTGCCTGCTCGCTGCCTATGTCGAGTAGTGACCGGTCACTGCTGCTGCTGCTGCTGCTGCTGCCAGCTTTGCTGCTGCTGCTGCTGGCGCTGCTGCTGCTGCTGCTGCTGGTGCTGCTGGTGCTGCTGCTGCTGCTGTTCTTTTGGGGCAGCGCCCTGCGGCTACCAATACTAACGGCGATTTTGGCGGTCCTCCATTCCTCGGGAGACGAAGGCAGTTTGCTGCTGCTGCTGCTGCTGCTGCTGCTGCGTGTCTCCGGCTGCTTTATATTTTCGGAGCAGCAAACATTTACGAAGTAGTCCAGCTGCCGCCAGACCTCCAAAGTGTTGTTGCTGCTGCTGCTGCTGCTGCCTGGTTCATCTATGACGCGAACGAGGCTGCTCTGCTGCTGCTGCTGCTGCTGCTTCAGCAGCTGCAGGCGCAAACGGAAAACGAAGCCAGGGGAAGGAGTAAACGCAGCACCTTCTGGGGTCAGCGGTGCTGCTGCTGCTGCTGCTGCTGCTGCCGCTGAGGGCTGCGTCGCTGCTGCTGCCGCTTTGCCGGATTTGTGGGGCTGTATCGCGGGCTGCTGCTGCTGCTGCTGCAGCAGCTGCTGCTGCTGCAGCTGCTGCTGAATAAAGGCGCTGTACTCCGCCGGGTTTTGCTGCGCTAACTCGTCGAGGGTTTTCCAAAGAGCAGCAGCTTGCTGCTCGAGAGAGCCTAGGCCCAGCGAGGCCATCCTGATGCTGCTGCTGCTGCTGCTGTTGCTGCTGCTGTTGCTGCTGCCGCCGCTGTCGCTCCTGTTGCTGCAGCAGCAGCTGCTTGCCAAAACGCGACTCCCTGCTGCTGCTGCTGCAGCCGGTGGCAAGTGCTCTTAGCGCTGCAGCTGCAGTAGCTGCTGCTGCACTCGCTGCTGCTGCTGCTACTGCTGCTGCTGCTGACTCTGCTGCTTTCGCTGTTGCTGATGCGGTTGCTGCCACGGCAGCTTTGGCAGCAGAATTTGCTCTCCGCTGCTGCTGCTGCTGCTGCTAGTGTTCTGTTGCTGCTGCTGCGGTTTGGTTGCCGCCTAGTGGGTGGCAGCAGCAGACTACCCTCGAAGCCCTAAGCCCTAAACCCTAAACCCTAAACCCTAAACCCTTGAAAAGCTCTAAAGTTGGGCCCCAATCGAGTGTATCGACAGCTGGAGGCCCCCAAGCCGCTGAAACGCCCCAGACACTCGCAGCTTGCTAGCTAAATGGCTGAAGGGTTTAGGGTTTAGGGTTTAGGGTTTAGGGTTTAGGCCAGAAAAGAGGCCCAATTAGGATGCGGCGTCGTGCAGGTTGTTGCAAGTGCTGTCTGCTCTAAGCAGCAGCAGCAGCAGCAGCTACAACATTCGCAGCAGCAGCAACAGCAGCAAAAGATATTTCAAAAGCTGTAAAGCGCAGTTCTGCTGCAGCAAGAACGTCTAGCTGCTGCTTACTGCCTGAGAAGGGGCCCCCTAGGGGCCCCTCGCACTAGTGCTGCTGAGCCGCAGCAGGCCTGCTGCTACTGCTGCTGCTGCTGCTACTGGAGCTGCAGCACAGCAGCAGCAGCAGGGGCCCCAGAGTCGGCGCAGCCCAGACAGCATTGCTTTGCAGCCGTTTCTGTTTTTCAATGACTTAAAAATTAAAGCAGAATTTTGTTTACGCTAAACCCTAAACCCTAAACCCTAAACCCTAAACCCTAAACCCACCGCCCTTTGCCAGTCTCCCTCTGAGGCTCCACTGCAGCAGCAAAACGGC